AGGTGTATCGTAGAAGTAGCAGAGAGACTGGAAATGACATGGTAGGTGAACATAACATCCAGAAATGGCTTGTGTTGGTGCGATTCTAAAGATATATTGAGTTTAAGAAGACCCTCTGAACTGAACAGTAAGAAGTCGATGCTCTACGGATATGCGCACAAATAGACTAGTCTAGCCTGGAGTACGCTGGTCAAGAATTTGTAGGGAGGCTTAGCGTAATTGATAAAATCTATCTGCGGACACATCCTCATGCAAATCTTTACCTCCTGTAAACACCAAATTCGTTGTCTCATATGTAACCTTTTCATGGAAAGATTTGGCCTATGCTCAGGAAGAAAAGCATTGGGGATTGAGGGTTAAGGAACAATGGCAGCCTTGACTCTTTCTCATTCCCATCCTTTGCATCCCTCTATTTGTGTTTCTCCAGTCTATTATTTTCTTTTTCGATATTTTTTTCAATAGAAGAAAATGGCATGGAAATGAGTCCGGGTAGTTTGAGCCACAAGATGACATGCAGTAAGGTGGAAAAGCAGTAGGCTGGCTAGGATAAATTGGTTTGATTTGGAGACAGTGTTTCATAAAAGTGGAGTTTGCAGGGTAGTACCCTATGAGGAATAGATGATGACTTGTGTTGATGATCGCTTTATCAAGTAAAGTGCAACTTAAGAGGCTTTCTGTGGCTATTTATTTCTACTAGAGACGACTTTACTGGGCCATTTTATTGAGTGTTTATATGATAAATTACTGCATAACAGTAAAACACCTAAGTGTTTTTGATAGCTACAGTTCCTCCTGGGAGCGGTGAGTTGTTTGTTATTATTCTATGCTTTTTCAATTGCCTTAAAGTCTGCAATTCGTCGCTTTTATCTGCTTTAGCTCCAAAGCTTCCTGTGTTTTGGCCCGTTGTGATGTGTAAGTGGGTAGTTTTAGTGTTTATTCACTTATATAGGTGCATCTATTAACTTGTCACCTAAAAGATATAAACAAAAGGTTTTAGAAGAATCTGTCATATTTTACTTACCAATAAATTGTCGACTTCTGCTATATTCTATTTTAATATTGCAAACAAAACAGCAGCTTGCTTATATTTCTACATATTTTGATTTCAGGTTATCTTCTTACTCTTACGATATTTGAAAGTTGAAATGACTGATTATGCATGCCACAGTTCTTAATTATTGTGAAAAAGGTAAACTACTTTGCTGCTCATTTACATTTTTTTTCAATCAGGAACCGCAATTCTGTCAGCTTAAGAAAAGTACACTGCTAGGTTTTTCCTAATGGTCGCATAAGACTGGTTTATTATTTGTGCGCAGGGTTATTAGGAAATTTGTAGACTGTAGGTCATCTTTAGAGATTCTATTTGTATAAGGTGATCATTTTCATTGAATAAATGAAAAAGCATAGACATAGACAATTTTATCTAGATGCAAAGTCACTGTAAAGTTGGACTTTTAAGTTGAGTTATCAGAAATGTCTTCGATTTCAAAAGTCTACACAGTATAAGAAAGCATTTTGAAATTTCGGTGATTTTGCCACCTACTTTGCCGTCTCAGTGCTGTGTCTGAAAAACGTATTTGCAATACGAAAAACTTAGCCGTTCCAGGACCCGTAATGCGACCCACGAGTCAGAAAATGACATTAAATTAACTCAGGTTTCCACTCATCATAAACGATCACCCACTTTCGTAGTCTTCATCCTCATGCATTCTCAAATCACTCAGTTTTACGTACTCTTCTAAGAGGCAGCCAAAGTATAGTAGTGAGCTTGTTGTTTGCATTATTTCAGTACCACCTAATACACCTACTTAAGTGAAAAGAAGAAAAATGATCCTGATTATCTGTCCTACATCATAAAATTTTTGCATTATGGCATACATTTAGACCGCTCATCTACACACGGTCTTAGCCGTTGCCTTAGTGAGACAGCTATCTATCTGGATGTCTCCTTCACCACTCTATCAATTCTTGCTTCTTCCAAAAGAAAATATGGTCCAGATTGAGCCCCTGTGAAATGCTGGCCTAAACTCCAAAGGCTTAACGCCGCACTTTAGAACCATTCCAGCTATGAAAGTGTTTCTTCTTTTTCATTGCAATCAAGGCACTCTGCAAAAATACTGCTAATTTAGATAAGTAACAGCTGCAAGTAGCAAGAAAATGGAAATGAGCCACAGAAATTTGCCCATACATATTTTTGTTAAAGATTTCCCTGTATTTTCTGACTTATAATAGTGATTCTTCGACTTCAGTATAAGCACTACTATTATGACCACATGCGTCGATAAAGCAGTCAAAGTACGTACTCCTTGAATTTATGCCATCAGTCATTTTAAGGGATCGTCAAATAATATCTATGTTCTAATCAAAGCATGTCGTTTCAAAGTTATCCTATGCTTTTGTGGAGCAAAATTTCACAAGGCTTTAAATACGTTAACTTTAAAGTCAGGCAATTTTTGTCTCTAATATCTTTTGCTTCGAATGATAATTTGGTATCGTCAACAGTATAATGAAAACGATGACCTTCTTCGTCGGCTTCAGAGAGAAGCAGTATTATACTTGAAGGAATCACAATGCGCAGGTTCCGACCTGCTTTACAATAGTTAAAGTACAAGTGACAAAATAAATTGGTTGTGGATAAATAGTAACTACACCACTACCCCGCTTCTTTTAGTCATTACAGCCAGTGCTACTCACACAGCAGTTTGTGAATCACTCCGCAAGAGCACTATTTACATCA